GTAAAGGCCAACTCAGACAGCGTCGGCCGACGCAGCCCGACCCGATTTATCGTCGGGGACAGTCTTAAGCCGTCGAGAGAAATATTAAACACGTTTAATATTCTACTACGCGACTGCCCCCGACGCACACCATCGCGTCTGCGTTCAACTTACACAGACCCGACGCGACAACAAATTGCGTCGGGCTGCGTCGGTCGACGCTGTCTGAGTTGGCCTTTAGAGTACGAGTCTTAAACCCCAAATTGGTTAAACAAAATGATGCAGCACAACGATTACTTCCCTTTCAAACTTTATAAAGGAACTGCATAACAAAAGAAAACAGGAAAAATAAAACAGCAAAGGAAATTAGCACTGCAATGATATAAATAACATGCATAATATTACCGCTGTCTCTTATACACATCTGGATGTGTATAAGTATACAGTATATATATATACTTTAATTACATTACATATTTTATACTTGCGGCCATTGTGGCCTAAATGTTATGCTCTGTTTCACTATTTCCTGTTTTTATTTTGAATTTTGGTCAATACTATAGTCTGTTTATTATACTGTCGGCATAATGTGGGAACGACTAATAATCTCCGTTCTCATTACAAACTGTTTATCACAATTAATGTATACCCGATTTTAATTACTCTCATTATAATCCGCATTGTTTATTCTTCCCACTAAGTGGTTATGCGTATCCAACTTTTGCTAGTTTTTTCATGTACCTTGATAAAGACCTGAGGATAGGTCGAAATATTGGTTTTCTCCAATAAAGTGTTTCTGAAGTCTATACATGGTATTCGTTTCCTATATTCTTTTGTTATCGTACCGAAACACACGTGGAACCTCACAATGTTGTATATGTATGTATGTATACTTCAAATAAAACCGCTGCTTATTTACAATTTAAATCAATTTATATATAGTGTATACACACATATATATACACATGCATATATTTAAATTAATTATATAGATAATACAGTTTTCAAATATAAAGGAACATGATTTATAAATTTTATCAAACTTAGTTCATCAATGAATGTTCCTTATTATAATTGCATGAAAAAAGAGGTATCTGGTGGGAATCGAACCCGTAATCTCTCGCTATCTCGACAAGCGTCATACCCTTTAGACAACAGAGGCCCTTAGGATGTCATTTCGGATCTTAAGACTCTTTCTCTTCTTGGAGAGAACTGGAGGCTCACATATGATAGTGGAAGAGTTTTTAAAGCTACATAATAGGTTATGGTAGCAGCTGGTAAATTGTAGGAAATAATATTCAAATCAAGTTGCATCGTGTATATATATATAAATTTTTATGTAATTTTTTACCAATTGTTACTCTAAAATCAATTAAATAAAGCAATTTAAATCTCCAAATTTTCAGAAACCCTCCAAGGGTTTCGGTGTGGTCCTTGCACACTAACGCTGTTGCTGGGGACATTCCCCCTCTCACTACCCCATCAGAAAAATGTTGGTGCCACCACTGTTCATCAGAAATTTTAAAGGTTATTATTTATCCATCTCCTAAAATTAGTTGTATGTCATTACAGTATAATCTATGAAAATCACATGTAACTGAAACAGACACTTAACTTTGTTTATGCAAACAATCATTGCATTCTCAATATCTAATTGATCTGTACTGTGTACTTGAGTAGAATTTACCGAAAGCAAAGGTATGATGCGCCGATGCCGCAATTAAATAGCTAATTTTCACAATCACGCAGTACTAAAAAAACTCGGCATAATTAACACACGTGCACGATTTTACAATAATTGTGATCAAAATTGTGTTAATCTACCAGCAGATTAATAAACGATTGTTTACCCAGAAAGATGAAAAAACACAAATCAGCAGAATACTAGGTGACAGAAGAATCAACTTTATTACTTTTTTTTTTGGCTGAACCAAAGAACATCCCTTTGTCTTATGAATATCAATACAATTTCTACTTAACTTTTCTGTACAAATCTCAAGCTGGCAAAAGAACAAATTGTAAGTGTACAAGAATTAATCGTCTGCAGCCACACTTTCATTACTCTCAATACACAAACAATATAATGCAATCAATTTCATTATTCATTACATCATCATGGAATTCAATTCAAAGCAATGGGCCTTCCCTGGGTGTGTCAATCAAAACTTAACAGACCAATCAAAACAGGGCCAGGATTACATGCTTGTCTCACAAACACAATATGTTGTCCCATAAACGCAAGTTTATATTGTTGTTTTTCTGGGACCTTAGCAACAATATCCAAGGGGCGGAGTCAAGGGGCGGAGCTTAGCATAATGGCTCATTTAGTATGGAGCTTTCGATTTGCATGGCGATGACACCAGGACAGATTCACTCATCCGTGACCGTCCTACGTTCTCTGCACTGCACATATTCGGACCAAGCTGCATCCTAGATTCCAGATGACTATGAGAATTCAATGTTCCTGCATACATAGATGACTTCATGGTGATGTAATTACATTCTAGGTCCCAATGTGGTCGTGCAATCAAAAGCTCCCTATATTTTTTTGTATCACATATATGACCTTAGCAACAATATCCAAGGGGCGAAGTCAAGGGGCGGAGCTTAGCATAATGGCTCATTTAGTATGGAGCTTTCGATTTGCATGGCGATGACACCAGGACAGATTCACTCATCCGTGACCGTCCTACGTTCTCTGCACTGCACATATTCGGACCAAGCTGCATCCTAGATTCCAGATGACTATGAGAATTCAATGTTCCTGCATGCATAGATGACTTCATGGTGATGTAATTACATTCTAGGTCCCAATGTGGTCGTGCAATCAAAAGCTCCCTATATTTTTTTGTATCACAGTCCTCCTGGATGAAACACCACCACCCGCATCACCTGCAGTTTCACAGGAATATTACAGGAGTATACACATACAGTATAATTATATTAGGCAAACATGCTATAAAGCCATCAATTGAGACTACAACTGATCTACAACTTTGTTTAAAACATGTAAAAACAATATTTCTATAACCTGAGGTGAAACCGATTTATATTTTCTATCAAACATGCAATCAGAAAAAAAAAAATGATGGCACCCAAGTTAGCAGGTAATCAACAAAAGTAGTGTTCACAGATGTCTATATTACCTACTACCCTGGGAAACTTGCACTACCCTGGGAAACTTGTATTACCCTGGGAAACTTGCACTAACCTGGACAATTTGCATTATCACGGACATTTAAAAATATCATAACTACTGGATATTGAACATATCTTTTTATTTTCTTTCATTAAGCTATCTCTATTCGCAGAGACTGCAGTTTTTTTTAATACTCACTCGAAAGCCAGGAATGATGTGTTCAAAAGATGATATCATCCATTCACCGAGTTGACAGAAAATCATTGTTTTTGCAGAAATATAATATTACCGTATTTTTGCATACATTTCAGCCTGGTTTTCAAAAAATCATTACACTTCGCTGCAGGGTTTTCATGGCAATACTTACCCAGAGCTTAGAGCTGTACCTGACCCAATCGGGAAGGTTTTCCAACTTGACCGACAAATGAGCATTGCCGGTAGACGTTGCCAATAGTCTGTAGTGATTTTATGGAAACCAGGCATAATACATCGTCACTCCATCATCCTTACACACACTGATAATATCTGTATGCTTACACAATACTCTCTCCCAAATACTTTATATACATGCATTATATCAATGCCTCTATCATATTTGTAATCGTGGTAAAAACTTACAACTTGATAAGAAGCAGCTATATAGAAAAAGATAACAGAAATTAAAAACCACACCAGATTTGGTTTTTACTTTCGGTTAACAAAAATCTAGCATTTTCCAATATGAATATGAATTGTTTTTGTTTTGTGTGGTTTTCATGGAAAATCCTCATCGTCTTCTGCCATTTCCTTGGCCAATTCCAAATCTTGTTGCTCTCGCTCTTTCCTTTCCTGTGAAAACAATAAAACATCCCTTTTAAATTTCGAATTTTAACTTTCCTTTACTCACAACAGCAAGTACAGCAATATGATCTGCGAGTTCGGCCATACATATTAAGAATAAAAAATCAATTCCACGAAAGCTCAAGCAAAAAATGAAAGGTATTTATTGAAAATGTCTTTTAGTTGGTTACAGTGTGTTCAGTTCAGTGCATTGAATGAAATTTATCAAATCTCGATTTTTTTATATAGTCTCAGCTCTGGCATATTTTTTATTAACTACTCCTATTTTCCTGCAGCACATGACATCTGAAATCTTGCAGACAGGCTTAATAGTCTTCTGAAAGATGTAACCATGTAAACGTAACTGCTAAACTATTACAACATTTAAGATTATAAAGCAAGGCAATTTGTACAACTGTCTGTTTTTGGTGTATTTTTTTCATTTTTAGTATCTGTTTTGTTATGTGTTTTTCTTTTAACGAATGATTAAATAAAAATGTAAATAAAGAAAAAATTACCATGTATAAACACTCTGGTGCTTCTTATAATTAAGTATTTTGTTGTTTCTTTTAATTTGTTGCTTTTTTAAAAAACTGACCAGGGATTGGAAGGTAATCATCCTGCTACAGTTACTCTTAACATATGCTGGTGATGGATACATTTGGTGTAAACACCAAGGATAACCCACGAAAGTCCGAAGACGACGTATTTCGAGTAGGGTCCTTCTTTTGGTGATTGTGCAGTACACCATGAGACAATCCCCTACTCTTTTCCAACGAGTGTACTGCTTTCTTTAACGTGTATATGAGCCATATTACACACAGGACCAACGGCTTAAATGTTTCATCTCAAAGACAGTGTGCTTTTATATACTTGTATATCAGCCCTCCAGCCAAAACACAAGGAGAGCAGCAATGGGAATTGAACAGGGGAACAAGAGATCTCCACGGTTCAGCGCACACAGAGTGGCTACCACCAGTTTAGCCGACTCAGCTAACCTAACCTCAGCATAACTTGTGCCAAATAAGAAATTTTGGGGTCATATTTTGATCGAAGTATTGTAAGTAGAGTGCAAGGTTTTAAAAGACATGTTTAAGTACATAGCTTTGACTAACAAGTCACTATTGATTTGATAAATTCATTATGTAAATAACAACAATACAACTCAATGTTAACTACCTCAGCTGACTCCAAATCCTTATTGTAAGATTTTGGTGGGAATCGCATTGCCTATAAAAAAAAAAAGATTGAATATTACAATCAAGAATTTTATAAAACAATTCAAACAATTTAAAACAATGAGCAAGAGCTCAATAAGACTACATAACACTTGATATTGAATAACTCAATATACCCAAAAATATTAGTTTATTAGGGGCCATCCAATTCTTTATCATTCACATCACCGTCTCCCCTTCACATATGTTAGGGGGAGGGGTCAACAGATTTTGTACTTATATGAATAAGAAATGATAATACCACAAATGACACCAATCACCTTTTTATCATGTACTCATTTTGGGGGAGAATGGTGTCACAGAAAGAGTAATGTTTTGTACTCTCTTAAATATGATGAAAGAAAATGAATAACCAATTACTTATTTCTTACAATAAAAATTCATGATTGTTACCTTGATAGCTTGGTTATGAATATCTAAACAGAATGTGATGCGTTGATGGAAGGCTGCTGTGGGTTCCTTGGTTGAGTAGATGTCCGTCTTTTCCTTTGACCTCACATAGCCTCTCTCATGGTCTATACTTGCTTCTATAACACCATCTCGTATAGCCTGTTAATTAACAATCAAGAGACTTGTTATTGCTAGAGAATCCAAAACAAATATATCAACCTAATTAAATAATACAAGCGCAACTACGTACTTGAAACTTAACATCTTGTCAAATAATTTAGTCAAAAGCGCTGTCCACACTATCAAACCAGATGTCTCAAATTTGGTCCCCCATATATGGGCATAACAGTTATTTGTCACATAAAATTTAATAGAGTGGAAAAGACTTTAAAAGTACAAAAATCTTTGATGTTTTACAAATTTCACATTAATGTACAGCTCAACTTAAGCTGTGTTCGCATTGAAGTAATTTTTACCAAGACGAAAGAAAGACAAAGTGTAATTTAACATTGGCTAAATTGTACTGCTGTTTGCACTGAAAAGATTGAAATGCGCAAAAGGTTTTACCGAAATCTATTGGCCAAGTAAATATCTGCTCAAATGCACAACCATAACATTGCAGTTTGGAAAATATTTTATTATTATAGCATGCAACTTAAATGCAGAAGAGTGCAAATTCTAATACTTGGGAGCTCAAAAATTGTTTCTTTACGTACCTCATTGCTGATCAAGGCAATGTCGCTGTAACAGATTTCCCGACAAGCAGTTTTCAAGGTGATATTTCAAAAATAGGCACCTCTAGAACCCTGGAAATAACTCTTTCAGACTGTATAAATTCTTTTTTAAAAAGATGTGATTAAATTTTCAAAATATTAATCCTACCTTAGCTACGATAAACTCTGCATCTTCTGGGCTATCCAACTGTAGCTTCTTGGCAACATCCATCAATGATATACGTGAATATGATAAGCTAATCATACGTACTCCTGTCTTGATCACGTTGTGATGTAACCGGATGATTAACGTGTATGTCCCTTCTGACTGGAATTTACTACTGAAGGTTTGCAGTGTCTGATTAAACAGCGATAGATCACCCGTCCTTACGGCTGTAGGTTGAAAGTAACAGGGGAAAATATTAAGTATCTTTTGATGCTTAATTTCCTATCATTGTACAATAAAAAATGAAGAACAGACCTTAGAAGTATAGCCTCCCCAGGTTTGCAAGGTAAACATAATGTGTGCAATAAACCATAAGCACCTGTTTCCCTGCCATCGGTTGCCCACCCTGAGAAATATAGGGTACAGTCCACCATCTTTCTAAAGAACTGATCATTGAGGAAAGATCCAGGGAGGGGGAGGGAAACAGGGGCTAGTCTGCTCACCCTCCCAGGTCCCCCCCAAAAAAAAGGGGAAAAAAAAAGGAAAAATAGTGGAGCACCATACTCCAAAATAGCTATTTTTAAAATTGAAATTCTATGTACCTATCTCTATGGTCAAGCATTTCTAAAATGGCCCCTACCCAGATTTTTCACTGGATCTGCCTCACAATGATAAGCTGACAAACTCAAGTTGTTTTACATACCTTGAGTTAGTTGGAGGTATGGGTATAGTGCTTTCCTGTATGGCTTCTGTCTAAATAATGCTCTGTCCGGTAACTCCCCTAGAAGTAGCTGGACAACGATGGCTAACTTGTGTACCTAAAAACAAAGTAAAAAAATTAGAAACCATTCAACATATAACACGCACAAACTAATCACACTATTGTTATACATGTGGAGGTGGTGGTTGGCACAGTGAATGGAACTTTCGCAAAGCCCCACCCCTTGGATATTGTTGTTAAGGTCTCAAAAAACAACAGTGTAAAAACATATGCAAACATGTGAATTGGTGGGACAACATGTGTATTTTTTCTAAGTAGAGTATACTGCGTTGATTAACATGGATATGGGCTATGTATTGCTCAAAGGACCAATGGCTTAAGTGGCAAAAACAAAAACCAAAAGATGGTGGGATATTTTAACAGCCCTCCAGCTGAAACACAAAGGGAATTGAACTGAGGACCAATGGGAAGTAAAGATCTCCACAGTTCGGTGCACACACAGTTCAGCCGCATGAGCTAAGCTGCTCTCTAATACTACTTTCTATGGCATATACTTACTGCTTGCTTAAATCCAACTGCTGAGTGCTGAGGTGCTTTCCTAATTGCCTGCAGTAAGTTCTTATTTGATTCTGAATACTCCAACTGTATTGCTTTTATCCTTCCTAAAACAGAACCATAGCAAAAAAAAAAAAATAAAATAAAATAACATAAGTTAACAACTAAGTATCAAGTATGATGTAGTTTGTCTATGGAATTATGGAAGTTAATCAGACGGTGCTACGATTATGGCTCAGAATCTCAACCTTGATGCCAGGCGTTCGAAGCCTTCACAGTGCAAGTCGCTTGTGTCCACAAGCAACACACTTTGTAATGTGTTTGTCTCTGCTCAGGAGTAAAAATGGGTACCAGTATATGCTGGGAAGTACAGCCTAGCATAGTCTGGCCGAAACGCCATATAGAGGAAGATACTGTAGGCACTAAGGCCAGTGAGCTCTGAGCTTCAGGTTTTGACCTTTACCTATTTTTACTAATAAAGGCCCCCATGTAAGGATAATATGATGCGATAGATATGCTTGGTTCAAAGTCACTGACCTAATGTTCAGTGATGATTTGCAAATAGGCTCTAAGGAGAAACATAATGTCAAGTCATTGGCAAATGCTCAAGTCAATAGCTTGCTGATGAGTCATAACACAGCCATGTATATTTATGTAGTAAAACACAGTGCAAGTTACTTAACACCCTCCCACTGTCTCCCTTCTGGATTGGTCAATGATAATAGAAAGACATTTTTTTAAAAACAATACTAATCATTAATGAAATATAAATATAACTAATAATGATTACAAATAGATAAACGCAATGTTTTGTCTTTATACCTCAGTTTGTAGAGTAACTGAACAGGTATCTGGTTTAAAACCTATGGGGCCAATAAAGTTTTCTCCCAAATTTAATATTAATAATAAAGATTAGTATAAAAGTTCACTAACCCATGTAATAGAGAAACCTAGCCCATTCATTGTTTGATGCAGATTCAGGGAAAGATGACTTGGCCACCAGTTTGTCAGCCTGATCATACAAGTTGTGCAGAAGGTAGTTCCTCAGTAGGAGGTTAAGAATTGTGGCCTGAGCTTCATCATTGCGTCTTAAGGTTGCTGTGCGTAATTTAGCATGCAAAAAACTATAAAAAGAAAAAGAGAATGTTGTATAAAAAATATGTGTTGCATTTAACTAAGTTACATAATGGTAATCCCACATGTTTCTGTGATAGTCTATTGTGAACCTGCTTCTTGTTGGAGCACAGTAAACATCACCTCCTCCCTAAATGCTACCAAACATTCATTAAAATAATTCATCCCTGAATCCATTGATCTTTATCATAATCCTCCTCACCTCCTAATGTTCACTTCTTGACCTGTGATTTCATAAGCTCTGCCGTGGAAATAGTAAGCCTTGGCTGACAGCTGGTCCATTGTCCTGCGATTGTAGCTGTCCAATTTGACCATCATCTGATCAGAGCACTTAACAGCCTAAATGACAAGACATTAACAAAATATTGACAACATTATCATGAATGCTTGTTTATTATTATTAACATTAGCAAAATTATTAGCCTAATTAGCGGTTCTTATACTTCTTGGCCAGCGACGACCCAAACGTCCAAGACACTTTTGTGGCAACCCGCTTTTCTGGAATGTTAAACAAACAGTTACACAAAACGCGTCATTAACACAGCAGAAGAAAAAATGTTTAAATAAGTAATTAGAATATGCTCTCTTTACTTATTTCAGGAGGATATAAAATTCAATTTTTTGAAAATCCTCAGGAGTATTACAATCCTCAAGTTTTATTTGGCAAACAATTTTTTGGTTGTGACCCATAGTTTGAAAACTGCTGATATAGAACCAGAGAGTAAACACTTACGTCTTTGTTCCTGTTGGTATCCAACAGATGGACGAGTACAAGTAGGTGGATGTAAACCTCAACCTCTGGCAAAACAGGGCCGTTAGCAGTCTTTCCTGAGCGAAGTTTAAAGACCAGGCTTGTATCAGTTTCCATTGGCTACAGGTAAACAAAAGCAACAAATATAAAAACAATGATTACAGTGTATAAACACCACCATATGTTGGCTTGTTTATTATGTGTTGTAATGTGCTGACTAATTTTGCATATTCTAGATGACAATATTTGTACTAGATGGAAGCAAAGAATTGGTAATGTTGCGGGAATCAAACAAGTGACTTTTAGTGTGCCATACCGATACTTTGCCAGCTAAACACTATGTAAAGGTTGAAATCTGAAGCTTTGGGCTCACAGGACAGTTTCCCGTCCCTCTTAACCTGGTGTTTGGACCGGACTGTGGAGGGCTGTAAAAGGGGAGGGGGGTTCACCACTCCTCCAGCATAGCAGTCTGTTTATGTTGGTACCCATTTTTACTCCTGATTAGAGAGACAAACATAGATACAGTGTGTTGCCTATGGGCTCATTCACAATTATCAACATTACCACCCTCTGAAAGTGTACATAAAAATCTTGATATTGCAAAACCATTCTCAATTTTTTTTGGTAAGTCAACTAAAGCAATGTACTTGGTTGCTTAAAAATGAATATCATATCCATGGTTACATTATAATTTTATCATTATTTTACATATTGTAGGTTATTTTGAATCCAAGTTTTTATGCATGTAAAAATATACAAATTTGTCTATCTCTTGCCCCCTCGTGTACTGTTATTTATTGATACTGAGGAAAAGTATCCACTATCACAGAAAGTACCTATTTGCTGCGCATGTCTCAATGGCAAAATCAGCCTATTTTAACAGTCTTTTGAAACATCTCTCCAAAAAGTTATGTCACAGATCCTGTGGTTATGTGCTCCCATTATACAGTAAATTTGAGAAAGTAGACATGATCCTAATATTATTATTTAAAACATAACGAAATGTTTTACCAAAATCTGACTTAAGTTTATAACAAAATTAATAAAGACAGACAGCACATATGCAGGGTTCTCACCAGCAGGTTAGGAGTGGTGGTCGGCGACCACGCCCACCCTGACCACCGGGGGTGGACGCCGACGGGGGGTGGGGTTACAGGCCTAACTCGCCACCCAAATTTTAGGCCAAACCGAAAATCATAGTGGTAGGTGAACTAGGCCTAGCTAGGAAGGCCTATTCAGTTCAGTAGGCCTAGGCCTAGGGGCCTAGCCCTTAAAGTCAGACTCCGGAGGAAAACAATTTTTTGATATGTTGGAGAACTGACGGGAAAAAGTAGTTTGATCAAAAACTGAGCAACGGTGAATGAGATACAGATTTTTGAATATTTAAAAACTGGGGGGGAAAAGGTGTAAAAATTGGCAGTTACGCCCCTTTCCCCCCCCAGTTTTTAAATATTCAAAAATCTGTATCTCATTCCCCGTTCACCAGTTTGTCGTCAGAAAACTTTTTTCTGTCTTAGAAAAATCAGTTCTACAACATATCAAATTTTTTTTTTCCTCCGGAGCCCGACTTTAATGTAGCTTCGGCCTCTAGCCTAGGCCTACAAAGTACAGGCCTAAATTGATTAATAGTATTATTTGTGATGACTTACTTCTTGTAAAATATTTTCATTGTCAATATAGCAGGTACAGTTTTGAAAATGTATTACCAAATGTCATCGCCGCTTGCAGTACTACTGTACACGAGCGTCGCATTGTGCATTGTTTATTGCTGCATGCTCTAGCGACTATCGCGGATTAATATGGTAATAGTACTAGGAAAGAAAAGAGGCTTGCGCCGCCACCCAAACAAGAAAGTACTACTTTGTTTTTAACATGTGATTGGAGAGTGTGCTGGCTGCGTGTGGCGGGATCTCTAAAGATAGATTAAATTTCAGACATATCAGAGTTAACTTCGTCGTTGTTGTGTCTTATTCCTTGATTGGCGACGATGTTAAATAATTGCTATTCGTTCGGCTTGAGCGGACACGATTTGAACTGAACAAGCAATGCTAGGCCTACAGACAGTTATAAGCCTACAGCTAGGCCTTAGTAACGTAGTAGGGTTTCAAATTAACGTAACCACGGAGACGTTAATTGATATCTTTGTCTTATCTAACGTAGCTAGCATGTTCATTGTCTAGACACTCCCTACTGTATGTAACAAAAGTATTTTGTTACGTTGTTTTTCTCATTGCAAAAATAGTGGTGGTTGGCAGTATGGGAGTGGTGGTCAGAAATTTCGAGTGGTGGTCGGGGCCGTCCAGCACCGACCACCGTGGTGAGAACACTGCATATGTAGCATAGACCCTAGGCCTGTGTGTGTGTTTACAAAATTTGATCGTACACCGTGACCTGATGACCGGGATGGACTAGGCTTAAATCTAAAGAAGCATCAATATTTTTCAGCTCGTAATCTTACAGTACATTAATATATTACAAATCACAAATCTAATTAAAATGTACAGTAAGTTAGTGTTGTTACATGCAGGCTTAAGTATCAAATTAAGTTGTCTACGCTGTCTACCTGTACACAAATACTGGATAGTCTATGGTATGATGGAGATGCATCTTCATCTCTAGTTTTAGTGGTGTAAATTCTACTCTAGGTCCTCTAAATCGAGAGAGGTACAGGTATACTATATTTTGTTTACTATTAAAATTTAACTTGCATTGTTAAAAACATATCTGACTTGGGATAACTTGGGAGTTACTAACAAGACCACTACCTCGATCGTTGCGTGCAAGAAACGGGAACCGAATCTCAAGCTTGCATGCAAGTGAGGCCACTTGCATACACTGAGGTGGGCGACTTAGAACCGTCCATTTTCAAACGGGGTAAAATATGTTTTGACTATTATTAATATGCATGTTGTAAGTGAATTTTTCGCCAGACAATGGTTTAGCCTACCTTTTTGAAAGTTTTTGGAAGAACGCATAAAATCCACTTAATTAAACGTTTTATCAAATGTAATTATGAGTTAAATTTAGTTTAATGCAAAATATGATACAATTTTTGTCATTTGTTTTAGTACCTCGTTTGCTCTCCTAGATCGTGTTGAGGAGGAAATCAAGGTCTAATGATGAAGAATTTCTGCCTAGATTCAAATGGAATTATATTGAATCTAGAGAGAAAAGAGATACATTTTTATTAAAATTATTATTTATTATACTCACCTCATCTAAGTATTCTAATAATAAATCTTTTGTGGGATGCACAGTGGGGAAGAAGCCCACAATAAACTTGCGTAATACCCGGTGGTTCAACTTCCTTCGTGTTGAAGTCAAAGCCCTTAAAACACGAGTTAAGTAGTTCTTCTCTTTTGTTGAAACAGCCTTTTCAATTTGTTTGACATGTTCTTTGAAATCTGTAAAATAGTCAAAATATAGAATTGATACATTATCTCTGGCATAAATGGTTTTAGACCTAGGCCTATATGATTTATTTATATCCATAAATTTATTACATAATTATTAAAAGCAAAAAAAAAAATATAAAAAAAAATACAAGAATGAGGAAAAGGTTATTGAAGACAACAAACCTAAGGACAATCATCTCAATTCATTTTTTTATATGCTATGATAAAATGTAGCAGAAAATAATAGACAAAAAAGGGTAAAATGTTATTTAATTTACAACTGTAAAATGTGGAGGCTGACTAGACCATAAGTGGGTGTGGTCTGGCATTGCTCAAATTCTTTCAAAATTGATGTTTGCTCCTCTGTTTTTAGTTTTTACTATTCCTTAGGCTGGGCCAGTCAAGTGAGTATCCAGGAGGTTTGACTAGCCTACCAACCTATCATACTGTAATAAGTAAGTATTTTTGTGTGAAGGACATCTTGAAAACCAGCTACAATTTGCGTGAAAATAGGTGCCCAGAAACGCCTCTAGCTACTGCCATTGCCTATCTAGCCTAGCCTAGACTAAAAACAGTGTACATCTAGCTAGGCTAGGGCCAGTCCTATGCCTAGCTTAGGCTTAGTAGTTAGACTACATTCTACCTAGCCGGTTATTCACTTAGGCTGGCCCTCTAGAGCCTAGCTAGGCCTAGGTGGTTAGCTGTCATGTAGGCCTAGCCTAGGATTTACTATTGTTAAAATACAATATACCGTCCGTCATTTTTCATATAATGCCTCGCCTAGAAAATCTATAAGAAAATAATGAGTTTTTGAACCTTCTAAAGTAACTGAATCTGTCTCAAGTTCCTTTTTTTGCATCTTTTCTTTCTCTGATTCTTCGTTGTCTTTCGGAACTTCGCCGTCTGTTGCTTCCATCATCTCTTCGTCACGGTCTTTCACAATTTTAGTGGAAGCCATATCTTCAGAAAAAGTCATCAAATATCTCTATTATAAACGCTTTGAAAACAAAAAAATAACGAATGACGTCGAGGGATTTAGCAATTAAAATAAGTATACTTTTGTGTCTGAAATCTCCCGGTACGGTGACTGTGCAACATGCACATGAATCTACAAAATGGAAGTTTCAATAACAGACATGCGCAGTGACACAATATGATCTCCTATAATGACCTAAACCTGACCCCTATGGGTCGTTACTTCTTCTACGGCGGTAAAATGGTAGCGCATAGAAGCGCGAAAAGTTACCGGTAATTACTTTATAAAAACATGCCTGACTATGATAAAAATAACAAAATTGGAATCATAAAAAATACGCAAACAAAATATTATCAAATTATAAAATAATTTAATACTAAAGATCAGCCATAGAAAAATGGCTGAATTCAAGTAGGCCTACATTCTTACAGAATACCACGGAGGTAATACCATGGAGGAAATATTTAATAACAACTAGAAATTGCAAATTGCAAGTGAAGTGCTGCGAAGTACAACTGCATATAAATGCTCTTCGAACAAAATTATTTATGCGAGTCAAGTGAAAATAATGAATAATAAAAATATAACAAATAATATGAGACACGACCCATTCTCTATATTAGAACACTTCTCACTGGGTGACAAAGTCGTAATTTTTCATTTTTGTCAAAAAGTGTCTAGTGGTGAATTATGGTTTAGGTTTTTTTTTAATAAAGTTTCAAAAATGTCTATGTATGTGGAAAATGTAGCATGATTACCAAAGGCTACAATTTTCATTTTGAAGACTGCATGGTCTAGGAAGTGTACATTTTTTTTTATGGGGCAAGTTTCCAAGGGCGGGTTTTCTAGGGGCGAATTGACTGCCAAGAGTGTTGACAAAGTGCGAGCCAGCGTGTTATTTGATCACAAGTGCGAGACATCGCAAGTGTGAGTCAGCGAGCCATGACGTCACGACAATAGATACAAGACGTTACTCGAGTTGTGCGAGGTATCGGCTGAGATTTGTGGAGTACAATTCAAAAAACAACTAGGCCTAGATCTAATAATGAATTATTGTGATATTAAATAGACAATGTTAGCTATCAAGGAGCGACGTTGTTTTTCATTGGGACCTTCGTCCCTTCAAGGCTAGGCCTATACCATTAGGCCTTGAGTTGGATAAGGCTAGCGCGACATGCGGACGTTGGTACGTGTTGGTTAAGTCTACAAACGTCGCCTAAAGTAATTGATTTTACCTGGCAGAACGAAAGAAGGAAACTCCGCTTTTCAGTCGTCTTAGGCCCTTGTTTTTTGACAAACAATGACCTTTCAGAGGTCAAATTGCTGTCAAGAATATGAATTGGCTGCTTCGCAGCAATAATAGGCCTAAAATCAATAGGCCTATTATTATTATGCCTAATAATAATAGGCCTAATAACAATAAGCCTAATAATTATAAAAATAATAAATTTGACAGTAATAATAATACAGTAATTATTGACAGTAATAATAATAATGAATTTGACAGTAATAATAATACAGTAATTATTTACAGCAATAATAATAATAATTATAAGAATAATGACAATAATAATAATAATAATAATAATAATAATAATAATAATAATTTGTGATTATGAAAATGAAGATGGTAATGATGATTATGAATATGATGATGATGATAATAATGAAGATATATAGTATATAAATTATAAAACAAATTATTATACATACTTATACTAAATATTTAGTAATTGAGTTAGGTATTTTTAAAATTGAAATCATAAAATGAGACAAACAATGTAAAAGCATCCTTAATGACAGTAATACTAAAACGAGAAAAAAATTCAAAAGTGTATATGCTGAGAAAAGAGGTTATTATGAAAATCCACCGATTGTAGTGTGCACAAGAAAGTATGAACCTTGATATGAATCCAGGACGTTACTGTTGGCACTGTACCCAGTACGTTGAAATTTGTGACGACTGAAGCAGTTGTTCAGTACGGAGCTCCTAAAGGGACATGGAACGAAAATCATTTATATATATATATATATATATATACCTAATAGGGCTCCCCGTCGTTGAGAGCCTGTCTCTTATACACATCTAGATGTGTATAAGAGACAGGGTTCAACTTCCTTCCAAAAATTCTATGTAGGCCTATTTTTTACATATTAGTAGACTCTAATATCGATTAATTAAGCCTTTGAAACCCTGAAATTGTCAAAATTTATAAACTTTCGAAACCTTTCAATCGAAGATTTACCACACCCACTTTACTTTCGTCTTGGACATGGACCCCCAGCCGGGGACCTCCCCCCCCCCCCGTTGGGCAAATCCTTGCGCCACTCATGACGAACAGCCGACGCCGAAGGCACTGTGGGCGTACATACGAAATATTATTTCGAGGGAACGAAATAATATTTCGAGGGAACAAAATATTATTTCGAGGGAACGAAATATTACTTCGAGAGAACGAAATAATATTTGGAGGGAACGAAATAATATTTCGAGCGAACGAAATAATATTTCGAGGGAACGAAATAATATTTCGAGGGAACGAAATAATATTTCGAGGGAACGAAATGATTTCGTTCCCTCGAGATGATTTCGAGGGAACGAAATAATATTTCGAGGGAACGAAATATTATTTCGAGGGAACGAAATAATATTTCGAGGGAACGAAATAATATTTCGAGCTAACGAAATAATATTTCGAGGGAACGAAATAATATTTCGAGGGAACGAAATGATTTTGTTCCCTCGAGATGATTTCGAGGGAACGAAATAATATTTCGAGGGAACGAAATATTATTTTGAGGGAACGAAATAATATTTCGAGGGAAAGAAATATTATTTTGTTCCCTCGAAATGATTTCGTTCCCCCGAAATATTATTTCGAAGGAACGAAATATTATTTCGTTCCCTCGAAATAGTTTAATATTTTCTTTAACCATGTCCCTTTAGGGTCTCCGTAGTTCAGAGCTACCTGCCTCATCGGCAGCACTAGTACTACAGTATTTCTACTTACGGTTATCTCCTTTATACAGTACTTAAGAGTTTCATGTTTAGTTTTAAAATTTTGTTATTTTATGTACTTTTTTTAGCTAAGAATTTAACTACTGTAATATATAATATAATATGGAAGGTAATCCCCGCTAAAAATATAATTTGAAGCTTTCACAACAATACGGTAACGGTTTTTTTTTTCTTCGAAAATGCGGTATGTGTGAGTTTGCAGCCAAGTTTGTAGCTTCTGCAGTCTAATCTGTGCCTTATGGCACTGCATGCCAAGATAGCCTCTGGTCCGACGATTAGCACACAGATTGATTTTTTAAAAAAAGCCCGCCCCTAGTGCCCATCTGATTTTTTTTTTCATTTGAATACGCTTAATTCCTGATGTTCGTCTCATTATTTAGTGTTTAACCCTTCACTTGGTTCGGACCCATCCGTCGGACACATCGGACCCCTTGCCGGCAAATTTCTGGCGCCACGGTTGTGTGAGTATGTTGTATCGTTGTGTTTTGCCCGTTCGCCTTCTTGTGTTTTGTTTGTGTCAGTGGTTCGTTTGTGTATTTGTGTGAACGTTGTACGTTTGTCCAAGTACATTGCGAGTTCGTTGTCTATTTCCTGAGTACGTTGTATGTTTAAGTCCGAGTTCCTTGGCTATTTCTGTGAGTACGTTGTACCATTGTACGTTTCAAATCATGTATTTATGGTGGGGGATTGCCTTCCATAGGATACAGTACTTGTTGCAAGTCTCGGAAATCACTTTTCATTCCGGGCTACGTCCATATACCAGTAGGCATGGTTGGAAACAGAACCCAATCTGCATATTTTATTTATTTACATTTCATTTAATTTATTTTGGCACTTCATATAAAAACACAAATTCAGATAACACATAGCAAGTGAAATTAAAATGTTTTCAGGGTGGAGCGGATTGCCAATGGAAACATAAATACATTCCTATAAGTGTTCTTTCCGACCCCCATCCCACAAAATAAATATACGGATTCAAATTACTTGAAAAACCCATTGAGTACAGTAATCATAGAAACGCGGAAAGGCTAAATTAGCCTATTACTCATCCTTAACATTAACTGGCAGATTCTTCATCTGGCCCTTAATCAACTTATACATCATTTTCTATTGTGTTGCTAAATATTATTTTCTTTCTCCGTAAGCATAATAAACATAATTTGTCGGTGTTTTAGTTATACTAATGTTACTCATCAACAAATAAAATTTATTTAAAGATGGAAACGCACAATAGAATTTAGGTATAGGCCCTATAAGATGTTATAGATTCTTCATCTGGCCCTTAATCAACTTATACATCATTTTCTATTGTGTTGCTAAATATTATTTTCTTTCTCCGTAAGCATAATAAACATAATTTGTCGGTGTTTTAGTTATACTAATGTTACTCATCAACGAATAAAATTTATTTAAAGATGGAAACGCACAATAGAATTTAGGTATAGGCCCTATAAGATGTTCTGATAGCATAAAACGGCCACACGAGTATGAAATGAAATACGTCTTCACTTAAATTTAAATTACACAATTTACATAAACGGTTTTGAATTGGAGTCTTGTTCCATCTTCCCTTTTCGATTTATAAATCAAGAACGCCTAGATGAATTTTTGTAATAGGTTTTCTACGTTTTAAGTCTTTTATGTTTAGTGTGGTAGCTTAATTCGATTTTGTTTTAAATAATTTAAAATATTTTAATTTTTAAAGTAAAGAAAATTGTTCAAAGTACTTTTCCAAATCAATTAATCTCAATTTAAATTCATGAATAACTTTATTTATGTTTTGAAATTCCTGGTTATGCCAAATGTAACCGTAACCAGTGTAACAGAGTAAATGTTTAAAATTTTTAGCCCAACAAGATTCATTTCTGTTAATTTTTCTCAATCGAAAAGAGTAGCATTTAAAAAGAAATCTATTTTTGTCAATTTCAATGATATATAACTAAAAGCGAAAATTTGAAATTAAGCAATCAACACGTAAGGAAACCCTGCCTTCATTTACAGCGACGCTATGGGCGCTTTTTCCAATACCTAAAATATATCTTGAAAAACCATTTTTCAAATTGCCTTAATTTACCTCCTTTTTTGAATACCATTATTTTGGATTTATTGATGTTTACCCACAGACCCCATGTATCACAAAAACATTCGAGTTTATTATTAAATTTTGTAAACCTTTAACTGTATCGCCAATTAATAATAAATAATCAGCATATAAAAGATGGTTAATAAAACAATTTTCAAATTGGATTTTCTCACTATCTTTGCTTTGATTTAACTCTTAACTTAAGTCATTCATAAAAATATTGAAAAGTGAGGAAGATAATGGAGAGCCTTGCTGTATTCCAATAGAACATTGAAAAAAATAAAAATATTATGTAGGGTGCAAACTCCCTTTAGGAAACAAGCTTGATTTGATAAATAATATTATTGCTTTCAACATATTTGTTCAATCTGTCATTAGTGAGTTCTCCAGACCCCCTGTGAGGGTTCTTGGATACCACTAACTTCCCACTTTCTCCCGTCGGGAAAATCAGCATTTTCCTTCCCCACCCCTCCCGACCTCTTGGTGTATCTAGGAGCCTTGAAATGGTTATGCGGAGTGGGTTGGCTGAAGGGTAATTGGCGAATTTTAACAATGTGACCATGGTTTGCTTTTATTGGGAGAGGGGAACTATTTTTGGGGTTCGTCCCCACCACCCCACGTACCCTAGATATGCTACTGTAGATCTCCTGTCGATCCTGTCGGCATGATCACTGGCCAGAATAGTATTAAGAATAGCGTTGCTTTCAATTTGGCATAATTTAGAATAATTGTTATCAGTCTTCAGCATAATTTGATTTGCATCGCTGGTCACACTGAAATCGCAGTACGTATCGCATATCATTCCTGATGATGACATAATGTCGAAATATAATCTCGACACGATGGCGTGAATTATGTATTATACTATCTTATTTGAGATTAATGAGTGGACCTTTCGGTTTTATCGAGTAGAAGTCTACTGACAAATACTGTAGGCCTAGTGCAACACTTTTGGTTATAAAAAACACATTTCTGTTCCTACTTTGGTAAACGTTTAGTATGTTGTTTAACACATAATTAAGATTTTATTTCGATCATTAAAGGAATTGTCACAATTGTGTCCATTGAAATCCATATTTCTGGTAGACTATTCTCAAGACGATATCTGGTCGGGCTGCGTCGCACGATCATAAAATGAATTGTCACAATTTTGTCCAATGGAATCCGTATTTCTGGTAGACTATAAACATGTTTAATATTTCTCACGACAATAAATCTGGTCGGACTGCGTCGCACGCGGTCTGAGTTGGCCTTAGTCTGAGACTGAACCCATTTGTAAAATGTTTTTGAGGGTTTTGTAATGGTTTTGTTGTACTGTTGACCATTCTTATTACTATTAATTTTTATATTTATGATAATGTCCTTAAACACTAAACACGACCATTTAAAAAACAGATTGTTACATGTTGTATTAATTATATCCTGTCATGGCCTAAATTGCCTTAGCATAACAGGTCTCAGGGCAAAATAATAACACAATGAAGACCACTTCAGCACCACCCTGGTTGGGACTGAGGTAAGAAAATGTATGATTATAGCACCGGAAATGTGGCACTCTCAGACTCTCAGATTTTAATATAAATTCCTTTTTCCCTATTTCTTTAAAAATTTTTGAAATTTGGTGCTGGGGCACCCTTGAATACACCATTGATTTAAAATCAACACAGTAATCAATAATTACTATACTCTAAAAACGAATATAATTGAGGGGCATTAGGTCTATTTATGAATGGGCCCCTAATAGCCCTGGGCCCCAGTGCACTGCCCGTTGCTACGCCACTGAAACATACCTTAAACTATCTCTTTCCAAACTTATTTTTAACTTTTATTACTGTACCACAAAATAATAAACACAATACAACAATCAGAGATACATCATTCATAAAAAAAATTATAGCATCACAAGTGTTTCATACACACTCTTTAATGAACAGTGATTTTGTTTCTTTCACTGTAGCCTAAACTTTTTAAATGACTCTTACACTAAATATTTAGGAATTTCAAGAAAGCTATTTTACTTCTGTAATGATTACTGTCAAACACTTATTATAATAAGTGTATCGTGGCAAAACCACTGTGTAAAATCTACCAAAAAGTTTTAATACACACCTTTTCACTACACCAGCAAAATTCTAACCTAAGCATCTTATATCATAATATAAAATTCTCCAATCATATCACTCGTGACAAAATACAAAACATTAGCAAAACTATATCCTATATAGGGCCTAAAAATATTTGCCTTCGCATAACAGGTCTCAGGGCAAAATAATAACACATAAGCATACCATAAACTATCTCTTTCTTAACTTATTTTCAACTTTATTACCGTACCACAAAATAATAAACACCATAAACAACCAAAGGGACATCGATTAATAAGAAAAAAAAATCATAGCATCACACATATTATACATACTCTTTAATGAACAGTGATTCTATTTCTTTCACTGTAGCCTAAATTTTAAAATGACTCTTATACTAAATATTTAGGAATTTCAAGAAAGCTATTTTATTTCCCTAACGATTACAAACACTTATTAGGTGTATCGTGGCAAAAAGCCACTGTGTTAAATCTATCAACAAGCCATTGATGCACGGTAGAAATTGTTCCTTTATGTCTCCAATCTTGACCACGAACCACAGACAGTGCTGTTTGGTAAGAGTTTCGTAGGACGCGTGATGACAAAAAAATCTGTGTCAATCTCTGTGTCTTTATATAGGCCTATATATATA